TGTGAGATAATTTGGACATTTTTCTCTTAGAAAACAGCATTGGGAATCATCTGATCTTCCTGGGGAATAGTAATCTACTATATATATGCTCTTCTTTTATAAGCATTTTTTTTCCTGAACTATTCTTTTTGATATTTGTTTTTCAGGTTTTTCAAACAACTGCTGTTGGCCTTGGGCAATCAACCTGTGTAGGGATTGGTGGGGATCCTTTCAATGGTACAAACTTTGTTGATTGCTTAGAGAAATTTGTTGCTGATCCACAGACAGAAGGTAAACCTTATTGAAGGATTAATTAATCCAAGTATTACAGATGATGGCCAGGATGACATGTTTTTTTTCTGTGTGGTAGTGTTATATGCATATCTTAGCAGAGAGTAGATGACAAAATAAGATAGTTACTTATATTTTCCAAAATTACCAGATTTCCTGATTAAACTTAACATCTGTTACAACCAGAGTGCAATAGTGTACGGTAAGCGACAAGAATTTGTAGGGGAAAATTTGCTATAGGGCTTTTATAAATGGAGGTGGGCCCAGCCCCAGAAAGTGGGAAGAAGAAAATTTTCTTACTATTTACGTTGACGACCATCACCAAGCGCCCAACCCAGGGGAAGAACTCTTTTTAATCCTTTATCACATTTATTGTCTCTAGAAATGGTACTTCTTTTTCTCCATAGTGTTGTTAGACCTTAGGATTACTTTTCATTTACTTTACTATCTTTTCTTAATTAAAATTTGATGGGTTGCGAATGTTTTTTACTTTTCCCAGACTTCTCTGCTGCCTTTAACCTATTGTTCCATTTATAAGGAACTGACAATGACTCACTTATCAAGAAAGAAATAGTATGGAACTGAGAATTAGATGATAAACGGAAGTTAGAAGATCTATGCATTATCCTGAAGGTTAGGATCATTCAATCTATTTATACGTGCCCGTCGTATGACAGGTATTGTTCTTATTGGTGAGATTGGTGGCACAGCAGAAGAAGATGCTGCAGCCTTCATAAAGGTTCGTGATGAATGAAATATTTATGTCAGAGTAAAGTATCCCAATGTCAGGATTATACTGTTGTATATGCTGGCTCATTCAGCATTTTATGGAATAAATCATATGCTCTTTCATGGTAGTCCTGTGGTGATGTGAATTTCTGTCCACCTTGATTTGGAAAGTTATTTATGAGAGTCCTAGCCATATTTATGAGTGCCAAGCTGTTACTGCGATACTGTCAGGAGTAACAGTTTTCTTATGGTAAGTACCAAGGATTTCCTTCATATCCAGCACTATAAAATTTTAATGAGATGTATTTGGTATTAAGGAACTATATCATTCAAGGTATGCAGTATAGTGTTTATACTGCATCTCCACTGAAGTTCACTGAAATAATTTTTAGTGATGATTGATTTATCAACATTCCAGAATTTTGTCAGATTTAGGTAGTATATGTAAATGGGGTTCTTCTTTCTTCAGAAATATTTCTATACCACTTAAGTCTCATGGAATAGTAGGAGTAAACTATATCACTCACATTCAAGCTATTCAATCTCTAGATTTTATTTCAAAAGAAAACATCTTAATAAAAAATACCAGAAATCCTATCCATGTTGTGGGTGCACCCCAAACTAGGCAAGATGGTATTGGTTCCAATAGGTACAAAATTCCTTCCGGCAGAGGATGTTCTTCCTTGCCAGCTGTCAAGGTAAAAGAAGTAAAATAACTCTACCTCTTGATCATGCTTCTTGATCTCTTGTCTTAGTCCAACAACCATAGCAGAGATTTAACATCTTGCCATACACCAAAAGTACACACTTCTTTCTATTATCTTTTCAACTGTGGTTTAATTAAAATATCCCCTCGTTTTAGGTGTCCCTTGCACAACTTGGAATACCTTACCAGTGAACTCATTTCTCTTGTGACTGAAGATTTGCTGTCTCACTTCCGATTGAAATCTCCACGTTTCTATCTGCTTCCTTTTTATTGTGCTTTTTGAAAGGCCTAAAGTACCTCCAGAGTTGGAATTCTTAATTTCCACACCATTATGTTTTTGGATTCAACCTGTGCAAAGAGAACATTCTTAAGCCCAGATGTATTTGTGCCTTCTTTGACTGGCTCTTTTGTTGAATAACTTTTCTTGGTTCATCATTTTGATTTCCTTTCCACGTATAAGCTTGTGGTTATATCCTCTACACCCTTAATTTGCCCTAGATTGTCTAACAGAGACCAAACCAATAATTTTAAGCTTTTGATCCTGCATCTGTATGCACTGCTCTATCATTCCCTGTTTGAGAATTACGAGAAAGTTAATGATGTGGCTGCTGGAGCATAAGAAGAAGATACTCTGTTAGCTTCTCGTATTTTAGAGAGGATGTTTAGAATCTTTGGCTGATTATTATGCTAGAATTTCTTAACATCCAGTTCTTGCCATGTCTCTGGGTTTAATAGCATTTTAAGCTGAGCTGAATAATATTTGTATTCATACGATTTGTGCGGTTTTATGTATTTTGCTCCTGAAACAGGAAAGTGGAACTCAAAAGCCTGTAGTTGCTTTTATTGCTGGATTGACAGCTCCTCCTGGACGGCGAATGGGTCATGCTGGAGGTACTGAGTTGGCCAACAACTTGCATGCATTAAATATTTTGACTCTGTAACCTTCGATATTGATAGTTAAATTGATCTGGGAACTGATTAAATTTGATTTTTGGTTACATACTAAACAGTCTTATGGGAGAATTCCTCATTGGTCAAAATCGTAAATGGGTTGATTCTATGTTAATTCTGAACTGTGCCTTCCATTCCCATGCCCCCTTAAACCAAAAAATAATGGGAGAAAATTAAAAAATAGATCCAAACTGTTTCTTGTCGATACTCGTGAGAACAATCTGCTGGTTATTGATATTCGGAAGTACTAGGGATGCTATTGCACAACCTGGCTCTGTTCTCTTTTTATCTGCCCATTCAAGCTAGTCTTTTTCTTATCTCTTGAGTTTATTAGGAACGGGTATGGCCGCTTTTCTGCTGTGTTATTCTGATATATACTGAGTTTGCTTTGCTGCATTATCATGATGATGAATGAAATTGCATGAGCTATAAAAAGATGTGTCATATTACCTGCTGTCATGCCTAGAGTAATTGTTTCATTCTGATCTTTTTGGAAGTGCAGCTATTGTATCAGGCGGAAAGGGAACAGCCCAAGACAAAATCAAGGCACTAAAGGAAGCTGGTGTTACAGTGTGTGAATCTCCTGCGAAAATTGGAGCCTCAATGCTCGATGTGTTCAAACAGAGGGGTCTTGTGTAGGCCTGTGGCATGACATTTTCATTTGGAAACTTTTTTGTTTGCTTGTTCGCGGACATGCTAAATGATGTCCGGTTATCCACCATTAACCATGGAAGATAATAACAAAGAGAAATTTGATGGATATACTTGTTTATCCAGGAACCGAGAAGAAACTGCGGAAGGGTTTATAATGTTGACATTTTAGAATTCACTGTTATTAGATCCTAATTTTCATGTTATGACAGGATGTTGCAGTTTGCAGTAATGCAATTTATGTTAACAGCATGTTTTTGGAGCAAAGCAAACTCACAATCCAGAGCTGTGTTATTTCCTACCCTTCCTTCTTTTGTAATAGCAAATTATTTGTGTAAACCAAATGGCTAATAATCTGCCCGTCTGGGGGATCCTTTCATTTTCCCATTAATTGTCACATTTCTATAATGTCATTCTGCACAAATATTTCCCCCTGTTCTGGGTGTGATTTTCGTTCACTACCTATGTTGTGCGTAGAGTACTATTAGTCTGTTCCAAATAAATGACATATTTTTAAATTTAGAAATAATTCAACTTTAAACTTTTCATTTTACCTATTTTACTCTTGATGAGAAGCTTTTATAACCATACAAATGTCATGATCTCACAAAGCTTTAATCCCTTAAAGTTTTTATGACCACAGTTTCAAGTCTTTTTTTTTTTTTTCTTAAACTCCGTACCGAGTTAAATTACCTCATCAGCTCATCTAAATTAAAACGGAAGTAGTAGTTTTTTTTCTTCCAAGCGAAGCGGTGAGAACATTGGTTATCAACAATCGGGGATGATTACAAAGCTACTCGTATTTGAAGAAGTGTAATAGCGCCATTGACATTTTTAGCATGGAGCTTCCCTGCAAAAGAAGTCATTCCATTTACTTCATCGTCTAGAGTGCTACAATAATCTTATGTGTAAAGAAGATGCGGGAAATCAAAGGATTCACGATGAATAGTATTTCTTTTCTCCCTGAGCAAAGAATGTATAAATGCTAGTATTTCCTGTTTCTTTAGCCATTTGTGAGTTAATACTAATTCGCTAAATTTATCCATTATCCATTATTGACTACTACTCAAACACATTAATTCTCTAAAATAAGCACCTTCTGAGAAAAATAAGCACTTTTGACTTTTCAGAAGCACGTGATAGGAAGATATTGAGGTCGAGAATCAAGGTAGACGGCTAGTAGGTAGTCGAGAGTATTAGTGTTAGTCTTGTATTCTATTATTATTTTTTTTAGTAATATTTGTTGTTCCTATCGCTTCGTTTTTCTTATTATCTTGTTATTGTTATTGCTTTTCTTTTCGTCTTTCGTGAGCCACGAGTCTATTAAAAACAACAACGCTACCATCGAGGTGGGGTAAAATCTGTGAACACACTAAACTTTCCAGATTCCATTTGTGAGAGTACGTTGAACTTGTTGTTGTTAACTTTTCAGAAGCTCGGCCAAATAGGATGAACTTTAGTTCAATGAATGATTAGAAGACATGAAATTACCATGATTTCGAGTCACAGAAACAATATTTGACTACGCAAAAGTACTACAGTAACTATTTTTCCAGCAATCCTAGGGTTGAGGTCGTGGCAGTGTCCCAACTAGTTGGTGAGTGGTGACAATCACAACAAGCTAAGGTCCAAAACTTAGTCCTACTGTTGTGATAGAAAACGACTAGTAACAGGTGGAAGGTCCTGGAAAGTGGAAACTTACGTGCCTGCTTATAAAACATCAGCCCCATAATCTCTATTCCCTTCACTCTTCATCTTTATCCATGGCATCCTCATATGAAACCCGAAAGCGAAATCCAGACCCGAAATCTGCGGTTCTTTTAGTGATAGACATACAGAATTACTTCTACTCCATGGCCAAGCCTATTCTCCCCGCTATCAACACCACCATCGACCTCTGCCGACAGGCTTCCGTGCCTGTGATATTCACGCGCCACCGTCACAAGTCACCGGATGACTACGGCATGCTCTATGAGTGGTGGAACGGAGACGTCATCAGAGATGGCACCGTTGAAGCTGAACTCATAACGGAGTTGGACCGAAGAGAAAGCGACTTGGTGGTGGAAAAACACACTTACAGCGCCTTCAGAGGTAATTTCCTACTTTAATAATGTTTGATGGGGTACAGACTTTAAAAAAGAGAGATTTTTCTTTACAAACATTTTCAGATACGAACCTAGAGGAGAAACTGTTGGAGATGGGGATAAAGGAGGTAATAGTGAGTGGAGTAATGACCAACTTGTGTTGTGAGACCACAGCCAGAGAGGCATTTGTGAGAGGGTTCAGAGTCTTCTTTTCGACAGATGCTACTGCTACTTCCTCAGCAGAATTGCATGATGCTACACTGAACAACTTAGCTTATGGTTTCACTTATTTGGTCGACTGCAAAAGGATTTCAAATTCCTGAGCACTCAGGTATCAAATACCTATGACAAAATATTGTGAATTAGGGGTTATAAAAGAATTGAAATATAACTTTGATTATCATACCTTTAGACAAGAAATAACCTTAGTCTATTGATTTTGTTGAGTCTTAAGTTACAAAAGGTCCTGCGTACTAGCAAAAGAAAAATATGCTAGTTGAGGTTTGAACCTTTGACCTCTTAGAAAAATCAAGCACATTACCAACACACGAGACACTATTAAGGTCAAGTGGTGTCATTTTTTCTTACTTATCTGTTTCCGTACAGTAATACATCTTTTTAGTAAAGTTTTCCGACAAAGCGGTGTCGTGTGACACCGCTTCGGCAAGCGTAAATCCGCCCCTGTGAATTAGCACACCTGCAAGACATTGCTCTGTGTACTCTTTAAAAAAAAAATTGTGAATAACCATAGCCATTGGTTCGCTCATTACTTTGCGCCTTTAGTTGTTTACCATAGTTAATTAGTTATAGATTAGTAGCTGACTGGTAATATTCATGATGAGATCCTAATGTGCATGCTATTTGCAGAAACTAGCGAGGAGGAATTGTGGAGAAGCTCTAGCTAGCAAAGATTTTGGAATAAGTAGATGTAAGATAGAATAAATATTAAGTGAAATCAAGTAACATTATATGGAAGTACTGTGCCTTTGAGTCCCACCTTAGGTTGGACAATATAAGAAATGATAACACTGAATAAAGGGTTATATGAAAAAATAATAGCTTCCCCATTGGCTAAAAGCACTAAAACCTTCTGAATACACTTTTATACACTAGCCTAGGATGAATGAAGACCATAATCAATTTTCAATTCTTTGTACACCTCAAACTACTAATTAATTGATAGCTTTAAATCGTATTACAAGAAGCAATCGAGCTAATTAATAAAAACAAACTTTCTCACTTTAAAGTAAGTAGTAAAGAATTGATATTTCTAAGCTTTGTTCTGTGTAATATCTTCCAGCTTCCACTGCATAGAATCACTTATTAGGAACCCAAACAAAATGTAAAGAACAGAGGAACAAAAAATTGACAGATGAGCTCTCTTCCATGCATGTTACCATAGTATTCATACTTAATTTACAATAAAAGAATTTCACCTATAAAAGAAGTGTACAAAGTAACCATTCCTCTTCTGTTTGCATACTGCAACAATCCAAATATAACTAATGACTTGATTCAAGGAGCCTGCCTATTGAGTCTCAGTGGGCATCCAACCTAAGTCTACTGCAATAACATCATCATCATCAGAACCCAATAATTCCTCCATTGTGAAGCACTCGTCGCTGCTTATAACTAAGCATGGCTCAGCATAGTAATCTGATGATGTTAACATATCAGTAAAAGTGATAGGTGCCCTCTCTTCAATGTTGTGCACTTGCTCTTTTGACCACTGATCAGACACAGATCCAGCATCGATGTTTTCTTCATTAACCATGGCAGTACTACTTCCTTGAGCCATTGGACACATGGTGTTCTGCTCATCAATATTGTAGATAGGCAACTGGGGTTCTGCAGTATCTGATTTTTCTGCTAGCAAACTACCGAGGTACTCGTACACTTTCATATCCACATGATCAATATTGTTCATTATCTCAGCCAATGTTGATGGAACAGTAGCCCTATCATCACATTCAATATTACTATGGTATTGTTGCAACTGAAAGCCATTATTATCAGGCGAGTAGTATGTGAATTGATTTGAAGTTGTCGAAGAACTTCCAACATATTCAACATGACTTTGAACTGAAGGTGCCATCTCTTCAATATTCTCCACTAATTGCAACTGATCAAACGCATTATTATGTTCGGATGATGTGAATTGATTGGAAGGACACAAATCATGAAAACCTGTCCCTTGATCCTCTGAAGAACTTGTAACATAGCAAGCCATGTTCTTGAGTTGTCGAAAGCATGGTATTCATAACAGCAACAACGTTGTTTCCACCGACCGCTATTTCCATATGATCACCTAATTCCTTATGATCATTAGCATGTACAGATTTACGCTTAATGCAGCACAAAACATAGTGATGTTCTAAACGTCAATACTACACAAGAAGGGGGGTGATTTGTGTGGTACTCAATTTTTCGCTTAAACTGCTTCTAGAAGGACCTGGTTCTTCTAGGTGTACTTATTACTACTGTTTGCGGAATTAAAAGTACATAAAATAAAGAACACAGAGATTTTACGTGGAAAACACCTGGCTCAAAAGGTGAAAAAATCGCGACCTACTACTCAGTAGGATTTTCCCAAACTTCCACTAAAATCACTGAGCCAAAACTGCATTTACAAAACTCTTTGTAAACCTAAGGATTAACTCTAATCCCGTTGTGGCAACCAGCATCTAACTGCTGCGACAACTTCAAGTTAACTCTAACTTGAATACTCAAAATACCTATTACAATTGCTTCTAGATAAAGCTGAAAGGTACAATATGAAACACCTACTACAATTGAACTAGAAATAAAGAAAGATACATAAAACTCTTTATGGAGCTGGTTCTTCAATCTGGTTCATGTAGCTTCTGGTTTGCACACTTGAATCACACACGAACTGCTTGCAAAAAGCCTTGCTATTTTGCTCCCAATTCACGTTTAACTTCTGCATTTTTGTGCAACACTTTAATGTGAGAACATCCTGCAATTTATAGAGTTAGTAGATGAAGAAATAACTAGAGTTCTGATGCAACTCTTCCTTGGTGGAAGAGTTCTAGTTGATTTCAACTTCTAACTCCTTCCCTATCTTGAATAGTGTTCTCTTTGATTAAGGAGTCCTTCTCCTTATCAATTATGCAACCTTTTCGATCAGGAGATATTAAATACACCAAGTTAAGCTTATCTCCATCACGTGCAACCCACATGCTCAAATCTGCCCGTTTTTGTGCACCTGAGGGATGGACCACTGGATGGACCTGGTTCATCATGAGTTCCTTTGCCAGTCTTCAAAACTAACCTTTACTTGGGCCAACAAATTCCCCCTTTTTGATGATGACAAACTCTGTGCTTTTCATAAGCTTAGCCCTGCCAGAACTCAGCTCAAACATCAACACAATGTTAGAAACATTTTTCCTTTATATCACTTATCATCAAGAACCGGGTACATTAGGTTATAAACATCACTGTTCAAAGTGTAAGCATCACTTGTTTAAAGCACAACCTTTTTCCCCCTTTTGACATCATCGAAAAGTTGCATAAAAAATGTGAGATAACCAGATTTTAAAGCTTACTTATGGACACTGGGGCTACTTCAAATGCAAACATGGATTAATCATCATAGATCAAATTAAGAATTTCAACCATCAAAGAAATATAAACAAACAGTTAGAGCAAAAACAGTGAACTTCATTGATGATTGATATGATTTTACCACAAAGCATAAGAAGAAATAAAAATACTGAAAACATGAGCAAAAGAAACAAAACGTCCCGAACTGGGTCACTGGTTGATCTACACCAGGCTAGAATTTAAGGCTTGGAAGAGGTAGGGGCTGGGTTATTTGCTTGGAGAAGTTTCAGCATGTCTTGAAGAATTCCATCATTCTTCTCCTTTTCCCTTGCAAGTTCAGTTCTGAGAACATCTCTCTCAGATTCTACCTCAACCAATCGTGTCTTCAGCCTTGCTATCTCAATATCCTTTGTGTCACTCTCCTGTACCAAGACTCTGACTTTGCTATTGATAGGTGTCTTTTTAGATGAACCAGGTTCATTAGGAATGGCATTGACTTCATAATCGCAAGCAAGCAGAGTATTAACCCCACTTCTTCATAGGTACCTTGAAATGTACAAGCATAGTTGTGAGAATGAAACCATAGGGAATGGCATGAGTTTTGGTGCCATTGATAACCCTATCAGTAGGTCCAAGAGGGTTTCCTGTTCAGATGGAACAGGTTCATCTATATTTCTCAAGTTGAACCAACCCCTCAGCAGCTTCGCCAGACCCACTTCCCCCTGTTTTGCTCACACTCTCTTCTATTTCAGTAAATTCCTCTCCCCAAACAACCATTGCACCAGTGTCTTTTATTATACCAACAGAAGTGGGTGAAAAATCAGCCACTCTTGTCCCCTTTCCCCTCACAGTACTCCTAGCGCCCTTGCTCTCCTTTTTTTCATTTTTACCACCAACTTCTCCAGATTATGTAGACTCTATACCTGCTATACATCCTACAAATCTATTCTCCAAATTTGCAGCAACTTTAGAAATTGTCTCAAGAGAAACTTTAGAATCAGAAGATACCTGTTCAGTTTTGAAAGACCTACTTTCTTCCCCCTTAGTAGCAGACTTAAATGAATCTTCAGATTTCTAGGATTCTTCTTCCCTACCTGCTTTCAATTGCTTGTTTATTTGCTTGGTGATGAAGGATTTTCAGAGGTGTTTGACATATCTAGGCTAGGGTATGAAAAGAAGAGAATTAGATTATGTTTGGAAGACGAAAGAAGAATGAGAGTTTTTGACGGCTTGAGAGAGATGAAGTAAGGAATACACCAAAGCTGATCAATATACAGAGGAATAATTGATGGGGTAACTACAACTTTTCAGACTCTTAGAAGTTTAATCAAACTGAAATTCAGCGTTGGAGTGTATCCCTAGAATCTAGGTACTTCCATTTGGTTGGGACTCTTTTGAACGGGACTGATTCACTTGTAACGGATATGTCCAAAAGGAGTTTTGTATTTGGTAGGACTCTCTGCTCATGATCCAAATATAGTTATTTCAAATTATGCAGAGTGTAGAAAACATATCGTGTTATCTTGATGAACCAGGTTCTTCACTGATAATTCTCTTGTGTGAGTCTAAATTTGCCAAAATAGAGAAAATATCATTAGAGATTAATGAGTCATTTTAACACATGGCACAAGAGTATACTATGGAAAGTATGAGACTGAGCAAGATTTAATCTAATTATACACAATTTACAGACTCTCTAACCAATTTTTTTTTTTCATTTTCTTTTCGTTCAACCTTGAACTGGTCCTTTTAGGTCATCTTAATCATCCTTAATTCCAACATGTTCCTCTCAAAATGATCTCTACCTAAGGCTTTTGTGAAGATGTCAGCAATAGCTTGTCAGTAGCACAAAACTCCATAGTGATCAAGCCTTTCTCATAGTTGTCCCTCAAAAAAATAGTGTCTAACATCTATGTGCTTAGTTCTCTTATGATGAACCGAATTCTTAAGCATACTAATAGCACTAGTGTTATCACAGAAAATAGGGATGCAACCAACTTCAATACCAAAATCCATCAACTGCTACTTGATCCACAACAATTGAGCACAATCATGAAGCAGCAGCAACATACTTAGCTTCAGCAGTAGATAAGGCCACTAAATTTTGCCTTTTAGTAGCCCATGACACAAGACATGAACCAACGAAGTGTGCCATACCTGAGGTGCTCTTCCTATCCACAAGGAAACCTGCATAATCAGCGTCAGCATATCCCACTAGGTTAAAATTACTACCTTTTGGATACCAAAGGCAAAGGTCAGTGGTGCCTTTCAAGTATCTCAATACTCTCTTGACAACAGTCCAGTGGGACTTCTTTGGATTTGCTTGAAATCGAGCACAAAGACCTCTACTGAAAACAATGTCAGGTCTGTTAGCAGTAAAATACAAAGGAGAACCAATCATTCCCCTATACAACTTCTGATCAACAGATG